AGTCCTGGTGTGACAGTGTAGGATAAGCACTAGACTTCAAGGTCTGCAGTTTAAACTCACCAGCTGCTCCTTGGAAATCCTGTACAGGGTTGCTATGAGTCAGAACCGACTCTATGACACTTAACAGCAACAACAAATTATTTTGTTAGTTATATAAAGATTTATATAACCTGAGTTATACAGAAAAGAAATGCTGATATACTAATAAGAGCCAACGCAAGAATAATTTCCAAAATGTGAAGATAACTCACACCCTCAATTTACCACTTAATTATTATAATAACAGCCTCCTTACTTTCTCTCTCAGACCCTAACTACTCAGTTTGGTCTCTATAAACTAACCTTCTGTCATTCCATACCTTACCAAACCAGCAAACACCAACATCTATTCTGACTCTCACTGACTCCAGTGGGTTTGATGATTCACTGGAATAACTCACAGAACTTACAATTACCCAATTATTATAGCCAGAAAAGATATAAGTGAAGTGGAGCAAAAGGCAAAGTCTGAGATAGGCCCTGGCTACACAAATTGTCCCCAGGGACTTGCCACCCTCTCCTGTGCAGGAATATTCTCATCACCCTAGGATACCCAAAAGAGAGAGCTCCAAGATCCAGAGTCCCTTAAAAGTCATTGGGAACCTTCATGTATATGCATGAATGGATGCATATATATGAAGTAATGAATATGTATGTTTGGTTCCATCCTGTTCCTCTCCCTTTCTGATGTTTGCTACCAGGAAGGGGCCTGTGCTGACCTTACTCATTTACATATGTTTAAATGATGCTGGACTATTTTAGAAATCAAATGGGCATTTGCATAGCTCCAGAATTTCTATGGGTAATTTTAGAAACTAAAGAAAAAAAAATAAAACAAGTATCTCCCCTCACAACTTGATACAAAATAATTTTTAATTCTGATGATATTTATTTTGGGGATAACTTTTAATATATTAAAATAAAGTAGGAATTGCTAAATTTTATGCATTAGAAATAAAACTAATATGATCTTTTCGGTACATGAAAAATCTCTTAGACAATCCTAAAACCTATTCCAATCTCTATTCTTGATGGGCTGTTCTCACCCAACTTTTACAAGGAGTGAAGAAAAGATGGATCATTGAATTTCTTTTTCCTTGAGAAACTAGTCCCTCTTTGAGAAATACAGTAAAATAGCCAAAAGGTAGGTTGTAGGGAAGAAAGGACAAGAAGCAGCAAGTGAGCAAATCCGCAAGCTGGCTGCTGTACTCCAGGGTAATGACGCTTTGACAATATGCCTGGTTATCAATATTCATACAAGACAAACTGAAACCCAAGTTGCTGAAACACACTCCTTCAGTAATGCCTCTTTTCACAGTAGGGATGTGAAAAGGCTTGAAAAAAACTGAGAGCTGGAAAAACTATTGCTATTTAAAAATGTCCAAACGATTCTTTTTACAGTGCCCTAGTTTTGTGAGTTCTGCCTTTAGCCTTAGGTCTATTTATTTCATTTTTTTTGTTTGTTCTCATGGTTTGGAAATATGATTAGAGCTTACAGTGAAAGATGAGCTGACTCAGAGAATTTATGCTTTGGTTTCAGGGAAGAAAATATAATTTCAGTCCAGACAGTATTTATGTTGTTATTGTTAAGTGCCGTCAAGTCAGTTCTGACTCATAGTGACCCTTTATAGAGATTCTGAAGAACAGCTGGTGGGTTTGAACTGCCAGCTTTGCAGTTCAAACTGACTTTGCAGTCTAGTGCTTATCCTATAGCACCATACCAGGACTCTTGACAGTACATATATAGATTCCTGATATGGCTCTGTAAGTTCTGCACTGGATTTCGAACCACAGGTAAGCAGTTCAAAGCCACCATCAGCTCCTTGGAAACCCTATATAGGGTCGCTGTGAGTCAGAACTGACTTGATTGCATTTAGCAATAACAATATATAGTCTGTTTCGAGGAGCTGCTAGTGTGCTTGAGCCACTCATTTTGTGGTTCAAACACACTTTGTGGTCTAGTGCTTATCCTACAGAGCCACAACAAGACTCCAGTCTATATATTGTTATTGTCGTTAAGTGCTGTCAAGCTGGCTCTGACTCATAGAGATCCTGTATAGGGTTTCCAAGGAGTAGTTGGTGAGTTTCAACTGCCAACCTGTGATTCAAACCAGCCTTACAGTCCTGTGCTTATCCTGCAATGCCAATTAAATCAGAAAATAACATAGAAAGGAGAGAGAAAGAAAGAAAAAATAGTGATTAAGGAAGAGAAATGAATGGGATAAATATGACACTAAGGACAGATAGCAAAGGGACTGCAGTGGCTCTGTACAATAGCACTGGACTGGAAATCATAAGATCAGTCATTTTAGCACAGTAGTTTACCAGTTTACCAGTGTCACCGTTGGAGAAACATGAAGATTTCTGCTTCAGCAAAGATACCTCAGAAACTCTATGCAGTGTCACAGTGAGTCAGAACCAATTTGAAGCATTTAACAGATAACAAATCAGTTATACTTATTTCCATATTCTGTGGCTGAAAACAATTAATCTTCATTTAATAATTCTAATGAAGGACATTTTTGCACACATAGTCTTTGTTGGAAGAGCAACAAAAGACAGGGAAAGAAACAGATATAGTCATGTGGTTGTTGTTGTGATATGCCATCGAGTTGATTCTAACCCAGAGCGACCCTGTATAGGGTTTCCAAGGAACAGCTGGTAAGCTTGAACCACCGACGCTGCAGTTCAAATGACTCTGCAGTCTTAAGCATCAGCCCAGAGTGCCACACAAGGACTCCATGAGATAGACATACACAGATGCATGTCTCATCTTTGTTATTTAATAACTGGAGTTTCAGTGAAATTATCTTGAAAGTATTTAGAAATAAATCTAGAAGGTTGAAGTTTATAGCCAGTTTTTCTCTATGAGAGAAATAAAGAGAAAAAGGTTTTGTTTGTTCTGGTTTTAGCATTTCTTCGGGGACTATAGACGACATAGATAGTGGCTTTTAGGAAAGCTGGAAAATATAGACTTTATGTAGTGAACTTATCTCCTGGAGCTCCACTGTTGTTAAGTGCCGTCAAGTCATTTCCGACTCATAGCAACCTTGCATAGGGTTTCCAAGGAGCAGCTGGTGGGTTTGAACTGCTTACCCTGCAGTCCAGTGCATTATACTGCAACTCCACACCAGGACTTCATTAAAGACTTATGATCTCTTGGAACCCTACTTGGTTGGTTAGTTATGTGCTGTGGAGTCGAGTCCAACTCATAGTGACCCTGTTCAGGGTTTCCGAGGCTGTAAATCTTTATGGGAGCAGAAAGCCTCATCTTTCTCCCATGGAACAGCTGGTAATTTCAAACTGCTTGTCTTGTGGTTCGCAGCCCAATTCGTAACCACTATGCTACCAGAGCTCCTGAGGAACACTACTAGGCACTGAATATACAGCTCTGAGCAAAATACATAGCATTCTGAGAATCTGGGTATTATGTGTAATGGGAGAAAGAAAATAAAAACAAGTATAAAATAATATAAAAATGTAGGTGGAGAGAAATATTGTGGAAAAAATTGATACTATGAAAGAGGGTAAAAGAGATATTTAAATTTACATGGTAACACAGGGGACAGATTACTTTTAAAAATGTGTTATACTGCAATAAGAAGAAAGAGCAGAGACCAAATGAGTATGTAATATAAATCACTCAATTATAGTTCAGAATATCTTAATACAATTTTGTAATCTAATTGTATAGCCATGTTAATATCTGAGTTTTACCAACAGCCTGAATATGATAAATTCTTTAAAATTACAATAGTGTATTAAGTCTAAATGTTTGAGTATAATGCTGTGCCTAAATTTCAAATCAAGAACACCAGAAAAATATAAGAATACCAAAAATAATCGTAAGTTCTTAAATATCAGCTAATAAACAGATAGAGTTTTGGTGTAGGGCTGTGGCGTTCAGGTGTGGTGCTGTATGATAGACGCTAGACTATAGGGTTGCTATGAGTAGGAAGCAACTCAATGGCACTTAATAAAACAAACATGAAACAGATGGAATATGGTGGCTCTGTAAATAAGCACTGGGCTTTGAAGCATATAATGGGAATTTGAGCCCACCAATCCCTCTTTCAGAGAAAGATGGAATCCACTCCAAGGCCCTTAAAAACAACAACAACATGAAACAGGTAGAGCCCTAGTGTAGAGCTATAGGATAATCAATGGACTGCTAACCGGAAGGTTGGCTGTTCAAACCCAGCAGTCATTCCTAGGAAATCCTTTATAGAGTCACTGTGAGTCAGACCTGACACGACTATACTTCACAACACTATGGGTATACATGCAGCAGACTCCTGGTGTGGCTCTGTGGGATCAGCACAGGAGTTCAAGGCACAGGTTGGAGTCAGTTCAGCGACCCTGTATAGGATTTCCAAGGAGCATCTGCTGGCTTTGAACTGCCAACCATGTGGTTAGCAGTCCAGTGCCTATCCTACAGTGCTACACTAGAACTTCTAATTAATAATAATATCTCTGGTATTATGGATACTGATGTAGTAGGGTACCCTGAATAGACATTTTTTTATTATAAATGAAAGAAAAATAACTCAAATAATGGAACACTGGTGGAGTAGGGTCATCTGAACTAAGAATGAATGAATGAATAATCATTTATTAGTTTCTATTTCTACCCTGAATATCTTTTAATTAATCTATTTTATTTTGTTGTTGACAATCATTTCAAAACAATAACTGACCCAATTATATTCAGTGTCAAATTCTGCAGAACATATTACATGTTTAGAAATGCTATATTCCAATATCTGTATGGGATCTTGCACAATAAATGAGAATTTTTTTGTATTTTTAAGCTGTGAATTATATAGAAGTTTTATCTCTCTTGATAGCTGTCTGCAGAAAACCTGACAAATGATAGTGCAGTTTTTGAAGCTAAGGCTGACTTTATTACAGAAAAAAAAAAACAACTTTGTATTTATATTTATTTTGTTCTGTATTTCTAGGACCTCAACCTACTGGCTCTCTCGTATCCAGTCTTTTCTCTACTGCAATGAGAATGGTCTCCTGGGCAGCTTTTCAGAAGAGACACACTTGTGCACATGTCCAAACGACCAGGTTGCCTGCACCTCGTTCCTGCCCTGCACAGTGGGTGACGCCTCGGCCTGCCTGACCTGTGCACCAGACAACCGCACTCGATGCGGCTCCTGCAACACCGGTTACATGCTGAGCCAGGGGCTCTGTAAACCTGAAGTCGCTGAGTCCACGGATCACTATATTGGCTTTGAGACCGATCTGCAAGACCTTGAAATGAAATATCTGTTGCAGAAAACAGACAGACGAATAGAAGTCCATGCCATTTTTATTAGCAATGACATGCGCCTCAATAGTTGGTTTGACCCCTCCTGGCGTAAGCGGATGCTTCTAACCTTGAAGAGTAACAAATACAAGTCAAGTCTAGTCCATATGATCTTGGGTCTTTCTTTACAGATTTGCTTAACTAAAAACAGCACCTTGGAACCAGTGTTGGCTGTTTATGTTAATCCCTTTGGAGGAAGCCACTCTGAGAGCTGGTTCATGCCTGTGAATGAAAACAGTTTTCCAGACTGGGAGCGGACTAAATTGGACCTCCCCCTGCAGTGTTATAACTGGACGCTGACTCTGGGGAACAAATGGAAGACATTTTTTGAGACAGTACACATCTACCTGAGGAGTCGCATCAAGTCAAGTGGCCCGAATGGCAATGAGAGCATTTACTATGAACCTCTGGAATTTATTGACCCTTCCCGGAACCTGGGCTATATGAAAATCAATAACATTCAAGTGTTTGGCTACAGCATGCACTTTGACCCTGAAGCAATTCGAGACTTGATTTTGCAACTGGATTACCCCTATACTCAGGGATCCCAGGACTCAGCACTTTTGCAACTACTAGAAATCAGAGACCGTGTAAATAAACTATCCCCACCTGGTCAGCGTCTTCTAGATCTTTTTTCTTGCTTGCTTCGTCATAGACTCAAGCTGTCTACTAGTGAGGTGGTGAGAATTCAGTCTGCTTTGAAGGCATTTAATGCCAAATTGCCAAACACAGTGGATTACGACACGACCAAATTATGTAGTTAATAAATGTCAAGCACAACCCAAAATCTTGAAGGAGTTTTTACAGTGCTTTTGTGGAGCAGTTTATGTTTGGAAGAGTAAATTTAAATTGTCTTTTCAATATCTGTCTTATATCAGTCTATACAATAACATTGGATGGCAATTTACACACATGAACTTTCCGAAAATGAATATATTATATTGCAGTTTTGGTTTATGAATGAAATAAATACTGACATCAGTCTAGAAGACGTTCTACTTTTTACAATAAATTTCATTTGTAATTTTATATGTTCCATGGCAATGCTTTTGTGCATTACATCCTCTAGAGGGAACATAAAAGGATACCAATAAAATTTTGTAGCTGAACAGTTATTAAAAAGAAGTGCTGTGGGATTCCTTTTTTCCCCCCCATGAAATGAGTTCTATTTTGATATAGTTTATAAGGACATGACGAAAAATTCACCAAGATTTTTGTTGTAAATGGAAACATTGGAACGTCCCTTTCAATAATCTTTGTGGAAAACTCAACTAGATAGATTGCTCAGTATTCAGCTGGGTTTTTATAGTTAACAGTGTAATGACAGTGGTATGTTTATAAACCTTCCTAGAGACGTCATCATCATTTAAATAGTCTGATAAACTATTTCTCAAGTCAAAATCAGAACATTGCAGCAAGCATACAGAAATATCAATGTGACTGTAAGTATATCATGGAGAAAGTAAACCCTTCATTTCCTTAGTAACTTGCTCTGCCATCCTCTTTTTTCATTCTAATAACCAATAATCAGCGTACTCTGCACAATCATTTTCGTTCCAAGTACTGAAAATCTAGTTATTCTAGCATTTTACCCATGTCAATAAAATAACATCACTAGAGTTCGCAAATTGTTATGTATTAAAATGAAACAAATGATCATATAACTAAATTCAAATGTAAATAGACATATTTATTTTTTCTCTCAGAGAAGCTACTATTATTGAAAGATATTTTGAAGAGCAAACTATTTCAATATAAAACTGATTTTAGTTCCAATTTTTGGTTTCAAAGTTAAATTGAGATCTCATGTCAGTGGGGTATAATATTAGCTGTACAATTAGTGCTTTTATATAAATTTAAACTGTATTTTTGTTTAAATATATAAATGTATCTGTAAAGTGTGTTTGTAATATTTATCACACAGTTATTTTCTAGGTATTTTATAAATTTTTCCTTGTAATTTAAGCAAATGTTATTGTCCAGATCAGCTTTCCTATTAAGAATGTGAAAGAATTTCTAAGGACACAGTGAAAGGAAACAATGACATGGCCAGAAAGAATAAGGTAACAAAAGCATTGCACAATCATTCTGAATCTGGGGCTATGTGTTTCAGTAACAATGTAGTTTAAGGGCAAGTAGACATTGCAGAAAACAGACACTGAATATCTACCACATACAAAATATTGTTCCACTACCTGGGTGGCAGAATTACTTACTTTGTTCTAGTTATATATATATATTTATTTATTTACTTTACTTTCTGCAGTTACAGGTTATTCAACAGTCATGATATATAATTAAGTATTCATCATCTTTCTGATATCTTATCCAATATTTTCTCCATTTAATTGTAACAAAAGTAAGTTTGGGGTTATTATCTCCATTTTTCTTGGTGAAAAAAGAGGTTCAGAATGGTTCTTGAAAATTTCCAAGATTACAGATGAAGGTGATGAAAAACCAAGATTCAAGAATAGATTTTTCTGGCATGAATCTGTCTGCTTTTGCATTGCACCACAAAAATGTAAAGGAATGGCTTTTAGTATCATTGCATGCAAAGCCATATGGAAAAACAAGGATCACTTAAGAAATTGAGACGTAAATCAACTAACACATAATATGTTATGAAACACACATCTTCCCATTACCTGAAAAAATTAATAAAACCAGCACTTTATCATCTAGAACCAGTCACAAACAGTGACCAAGCTTATCTAACATGAATGAACAATACATGCAAAAGATACCTGCAATGAACAGCACAGTTGCCTTTAAGACCTTTTCCAAAAGAAATGATGCTCAGCTGTCGGGGGATTCTGAGCCCCCCAAACCACTTGAGTACATGCAGCATGTCTATTGCACTGCATAACAATCCCCTAGTTCTTAAATGTAGCGATGGTGGTGGTGGTTGTGTTCGGTGGAGTCAGTTTTGACTCTCAGAGACCTTGTATAGAGTTTCCGAAGCTGTAAATCTGTATGGGAGCAGAAAACCTCATCTCTCTTCTGCAGAACCCCTGGTAGTTTCAAAGTGTGTCCTGTGGGTTTAGCAGCCTAACTCGTAACCACTACTCTATCAGAGCTCCTTTTAATTAGCAGTGCTAATTATTTTGTTGCGCAGTTCTTCCTGTTTTTAATGGCTACTGAGAGAAATTTCTAACACCATAGATAAAGAAGAACACAAATGAAAGCTTTATCCTTAGACTTCTTGTGCCTGGCTGAAAATTGTTTATCTCCAACTCTTTTGGTAACACTCTTTGAGTGAATCCTTTGTATCTGTGTCTAGTTTCTCTCTGTTGGTAAAGAAATAATACTGATTTCCTTTCTCTGGAGGTTGTGCCTAATATGACTACAACATAAGCTTCCCAAACAAATTCTAGAGCGCAAACAAATTTAAATGTGAATAATCTGCACACTATTTTAATGTTTCTATTTCTTGTATATCTTCAGATGTTGTACAGTGTCCTTTAAGCAATGAGCTAGATGATCTAAAGTAATGCAATCTCTGCTTACCAAAGGATACATTCCATTTATTTATTTTGTATGAGAGAAAATACAGCCCATAAGCATTTCAATTTTTCTAAATTGCCCTATATAAAAACATTTATGTTCAGAATTTTTTAAAGAAGTTTTAATACAAATAACTTTACTGTCAAAATTTAATTTAGAGAAAAACAGGGTATTTGCCTTCTTTTTTCATATTGGCTTTTTGGTATACCTAGTTTGGGTCTTTAAATTTATCTTGAATTTAATATATTCGATAAAACTTGAAACTCGGAAAATAAAAACGTAAGAATCTATCATTTACAGTAACATATGTTACTGCTCCAGATAATTTTGATAAGTATCATAGTTTAACCTGGCGTGGTATCCCAGGCATCTCAAATTGGTGTATAGTTAACTTAGATTAGTATCCAAATGGTCACTCTCAGCTCAATAAAATGCTGAAATAGCTGGTAGTCCTAACTGATTTTAAATAAATGTAAGATGATCGATTTTCCACCTACTTGTTCTTCCTTCTCTTTTTTTGGTTATGCTTGTCGAAATATAAAGACATATTTTAGAAGAAGCCATGTGTTGCCCTTTGATCCTGTATGTTCTTAAATGACACCCCTTCTCTTATTTCCTTTTGTTCGACATACAGAATTTTTCATTTTTCACAATCATAATATTTATTCATCTGAAGAAAATAACCCATTTGAAAAAAATTCATCTGAAGAAAAAGACCAAATAACGATAAATATTTGCTAGAGTAGGTGTTATGTGATTGTTGTTATTAAGTGCCATTAAGGTGGTTCCAACTCATAGCAACATTGCAGAGGGTTTCCAAGGAGCAGCTGGAGGGTTTGAGCCGCTAACTTTCTGGTTTAAATTGATGTTAGGGTCCAGAGCAACATCCGTACTCAGAGTAGGAATTACAGATCATAGTGGTGGTAGTGGTAGCTATGTGCCATGAAGTCGGTTCTGACTCATATTGACTGTGCTTTGGGAACAGAATGCCTCATCTTTCTCCTGTGGAACCGTTGGTAGTTTGAAACTGCTGACCTTGAGGTTGGCAGCCCAACTCGTAACCACTACTCTACCAGAGCTTCTTAGTGCTCCTCATAGATTATCGTAACTCAACTGAAAAGAAACTTGCAAGTTTTACAAAACTAGTAGTAAAAAAACCTTTAAAATAGTAAATTTGACTTAAGATTTTAAATGGGAAACACTAGGTTTTCGAAATCAATGTGAAAATGTAAAGAACGTGTTAAACAAATCAAACTTCGTGAAACTGATAAAAATCTCATCACAGGTGTACACCTGGATGGTTTTGTTAGAATGTTGTTGTTAAGTGCTGTTGAGTCAGTTTTGACTAATAGTGACCATGTGTAGGGTTATTGAGGAGCGGCTGGTTGGTTTGAATCACTGAATTTGTGGTTAGCAGTTCAGTACTGATCCTATAGTGCCACATCAGGAGTCTTTAGTTAGAACTGTTGTTATGTGCCGCCGTGGAGTCGGTTCCAACTCAAAGCGACCCTGCCCCTGCACAGGGTTTCCGAGATTGTGAATCTTTACGGGAGCAGAAAGCCTCATCTTTCTCTCGCAGAACAGCTGGTAGTTTTGAACTGCTGACCCTGAGGTTAGCAGCCAATTTGTAACCACTACGCTACTAGAGCCCCTTGTTTTAGTTAGAATAATCACCCTTAAATTGACTCGAGTTTTCCCTATGGTCCATAAATACTGTATAAATTGAAAGCAAGAGACACAAATGTTTCTGAGGCATTCTTAGGGAAAAAATAGCCAAACTAGCTGGATTTTTAGCACTTTGGAGTGTTCATTTTTTTCAGACCCTATCACTAAACCACTGACATTCCACTTTTCTTATCATCGCGTACCTTAACAGATTTATATTTCTACCCTGAGCTCCTACTCTAATAATTTGAGTAAGTCCTGTAGGATAAAGCCCTGGACCTCAAGGCCCATTTGAACCATAATATCATGTTCAAACTCATCAGCCACTCCTTGGAAACCCTATACAGGGTTGCTATGAGTCCGAACTGACTTTATGGCACTTAACAACAACAACAACAATAAACTAAAGTACAAGTGAAGCACTCCATGATTTCATTACATAACCGGTATTTTGTTTGTTTGTTTGTTTGCCAATGTCTCTATTTCTTTTACATAAAAGCTATTTTAATGAACTGTGAATGACTAATTAGCACAACCATTATTATATAAACTAAAATTCAAACTGAAGCAAAAATCCCAACCCTAGAAATTATCTAATATGTCAGTAATCAAACCAATTAATTATGACTGAAGTTCCATTCTGGGTTTTGTTTTTTTTTAAGTATTTCTTGTGAGTTATGTGGATTTACATGGGAGAACATCAGTTTTACATTCTTCCTATCTTATTTTGTTTCATTGCAATGATTACAATCCCTTCCATGAATGCAAATAACCAAAGGATACACACACCCCATAGGACCCGCCGGACGCCCACCCCCGCCCCCGCTGTCAGCACACAGAGACGGACGAGGGCGAGCGGGCGAGGGCCCCCGCTGTCAGCACACAGCCCCTCTCCCTCCCTGAGTACAGTGTCCCCAGCCACTACATCTGTCTACATCATCCTCTCTG